GGGTCGTCCCTTTGGCCTTCATCTGGACAACCTCCTGTTGCTGGGTTTCAGTCAGATTAGAGCAGCCTGCCATCTTACAGTCTCAGTGAAAATTAGAGGAATATTGCGAGTTAAATAGGGTGCGTCATATAATTAAGGAAATTAGCACCAGGTGCCAGATTAACACCAATAACTTAAAGGTATCTGTAAGTTTTCTCTAATTTTGATCATTTTATTTTTCAAGTTTTTTTATACTGTGCTTCAGAATACAATTGATTTATGAAATATGCTTAAAAACTGCCCATCTACTCCTGTTAGGATAACTTCAAATAGGACTAAGCATTGACCTTGAAATTTAGGAAATTGTACGTTGATATCTAATTTTGATTTCCACTGTATATATAAAAATTACTGACCCAAAACTTTTGAACATAGGGTATGTATGACATTTGACTAGACTATTGTGCTGCCTACTATTTGGAATAGATCTGTGATGCCAAATAATGGTGCCAAATTAAGTTTGTACGTTATCATATGCAGTCCCCTGGCTTTGCCCATTGTAAATTATGTTTCCTAATGTCTTTGCATACATCACTCTTGACCTCAAAAGTGTCTGCTTCCTAGTGAAATACTTGTCTCATCTAGTGTCATGTTGTAGTTCCTCTTTCTCTCTGCAGATTGCCATTTTCATATCCTCTCACAGTGGCTCTTTTATTGCACTGGTAACGCCTAGGCTGTAGGCTTTTCTGAATGCTGTGAATAGCATTTGCTTTATTTCTCATTGTATTGTGCACATACTGTTTGTAGAGGTTTACCTGCATGCACACATTCAGCATGGACGATTGGAAGCAAGAGACAAACCTCACGTACACAGTCAGCTTGCTGAGGAAGATTGTGGTTAGTTTATTGTCAAAACAGTCAACACAACAATTTGAGAAATGTGAACCATCATAATGCCCCATACAAACTCAAAATAGTTCATCAAATGTTTTGATTCCTGATCTTCAGGTTCCATGTGTCATGAACATTTGTAAACAAGATGTGTGATTTATTTAATTACCATTCATTACACATCCTGCAAAGAAACTTTTCTTAGGCAGTATTTTTTTTTTTACTGTATAAATATTGAAACACCATTAAAAAGAGATGCGTTTACTTCAGAAGAAGAATTGCATAGTATATGAGGACAGACTTGTTTTCAGAAAATATATCTCAAATTAAGTTGATTTTTCTTACCCCACTTCAAAATGTTCTTGTTTTAAGCATAAACCTCGGTAAAATCAGCCTGCCATTGAAATAAGATCTGGGGACACCTGAGACTTATATTACATGTTGTAAAAAGGGGCATGATATGTCTCCTTTAAAATAATTTTTAATAATTGAAATAAAGCTGAAATAAAATGTGTATGTTATATAAAAAAAACTTTAAAAACATTAAAATAGGAATATTGCTTTGGTAACTTAAAATCAGTTTAACTTGAATTATTAAAATTACTAAAGCTAAAAAATAAAGTGAAATGTAAATATTTTTAAAATAATAATAAAAATGACAGAAACAAAAAAAATGTAAAGCTAAAAGCTCTTAGCAGAAATACATTTATGTAACTCCACGTGGCACTGCGGCATTCTCCTCCTTGCAGGAGCCCCAGCGGGCATATGTGGCGATTTCCCTCATTAACCTTGCCTAGGGTCTGTTTCTTACATAATGTCCTGATCCTCACAGAATGTCAGATTTAGCCTCAGAGCTCGGGTTTGAGGCAGTGACATGTTGTTAGACTCTCCCAAAGTCACCCTTGATGGATTCCAGTTTATAATGGTAATTTATAGTGGTGTTAATATAAATATCACTATTGCGAAATAATTCAACTTTAGTGTCCCATTTGAGCTACAGGCGTGAATGATAAAGTTTAAATTATGTGACTCTTGACTCTTTTCTAAGCCATCAGACTTTTGTCTGACTGACAAAAAAATACATACAGAAAAAATATTCCCACAGACATACATTAAAGGATGTGGTATAGAAACCAGAATATCACTTTTGACTTGACAAAACCTGCTATTTATGCTTACATTCTCAGTTTGGACTTTTGTTCTTTCACTTTTGTCATCATGTGTAGTTTAGCATAATCTTGTTTAACTGCTGTTGCAGGAACGTTATCATGTTTACTTACCTGCAGCGTTGAGGTACATTTATTCATGTATGTTGTGTAGATAAGTAAACAGGAACAACTCATGTTACAGGGCTCTAGACTGTGACTAAAACGGTTGCATTTGCAAGAAGTTTTTGCTGAGGTCGCCACTGGCGAGTAGAGACATTTACATGTTATGATTTAAAAATTTGCATGTAATGACTTTTTTTTTCATTTTGTTTAGCGATCACATCATTTGTTATGTTGACGTAATAAACTGAGACGATGCGCATCAAAGTTTTAGTGGAAAAAAGAAAACAGTCCTCATCTCAGCCAAACAGCAGCGTTGACAGAATACCTGCTAAAAGCAGCTTTTGTGGTGGCATGAGAGAACGGTGTGACAGAAAAGCTGTCAGCTGTGTGGACATTAACAATATAACAATTCGTTTATAATCGATACTATGGCTTCTTGTTATCAAGATCTTTACTTTAAATGCTGTTCTGTTAATGCGTGAGCTTCATATTATTTGTAGCGCACTTGCCGTCCAATAATCGCAATAAGCTTTGTGCTTTGTTACATTTTAATAAACAAAGTATCAGCTTTAATATTCTGCCAAATTCATAACAAAATTCAAACAATAAATGCCGTTTTGGTGCTCTTTAAGGTGGCATGAGCGATCGCTTTAGCGCCTCAGTTCAAGTGGCATTGGAACCCATCATATCTTTCTCTTTACTACTATACTACGAAAATAAACATGAATGGACATCGAAAGGTATATAAGATATAGTACATCTTACTGAAATGTCTTATGTAATCGCTCATTCAGTGTTTCAAACTGCGGAAAACGTGGAACACTTTTAAATGCCACCTAACAATACATTTACCTCAGAATAACCATTTGGTGTCCATAATCTCATTAGTCAGCTAGATAAAATAACTATAAATAGGAGTATTTTGCTAAATTTATGCGCTATATTGCATATTTTTACCTAACCTGTTGACATAAGAAAGAATGCAAGGAGCTAAAGGTCAAATTCAACACCTCCTATATAATTGCATGTTAATAATGAAGAAAAACAGACTGGATGACAAGACATGTGACAACATTTATAGGATGCATTGATTAGGAGCCCAAACTACACTCAATGGCCAAGTGATGCTGAAATAATTATGGTCCGTGACATTGGCACCACAGATTCTGTGTTAATTACAATTCTTTGTGACTGTATATAGTTCTCAAGTTGGAAAAGACGTTTAGTTCCCAATTTAAGTGATCCTTAGTTCCCAGGACATCTACAAGATGGATTAAAATGCTGATAAAGACAAGAAAAGATGAAACATAAACACATGACAGTATGATTGAAATGTTTAAGATAATAATAATACACATTTATTATGTGTAGGCCTGTCACAATAATCAATATATCAACTTGTCGCACAATATATGTACATGACCTCAATCATTTTTGGTGACGCAATATATTGCCCATTATATTTACATAAAAATGAATGTCACCATGTTTTTTGCATTCCACTTGCAACTATGTCTTTTGCAGCTTCTCATACATAATGTGGTGTAGTCGGTGCTAGTTCAAATAAAAAAAATGCTTCTACAAACAAAGTTTCATCTGCAGATATGGCCTTGTTTAGGGATCTGTGCCTTTGTGCATACGGACATCTGACTGCTAAGTAGGGACTGTGTTCTTCAGCAATAGTGTGCACCCTTAATTTACACAGAAAAGAAGGTCAGGAAAAATCTGTTGATGTAAAAAGGTTATTTGTGAATTACTGAGTGAGTTACTTTGCACTTTTTGTTAGAAGATGTTTATTTACTATTTATTCAAGTTTTTAAGGTATCTAATATTTTGACTTAATTTCCATTATCTGAATATTCTTAAGAATTAAAAGTTTGTTGTCATTGGAAAGTGTGTAGGCCTTCTTGCATTATTATGCTGTTATATTATGATTATATATTTAGTGGCATAAAATTGTCTTAAATTGACAATAATATTGTTTATCGCATTTATTTCTGGGGCAATATATCGCACAACAAAAAGTTGTTATCATTATAGGCCTAATCCTGTGGCACCTAAAAAAATAATTTGGCGCCTAATTTTGTTTCTTATAGGAGCCAATGGCTCCTTAATTAATTTTTTTTGTCTGGAGCTCTGTGTTACACATTGTGAATGATTGCCATGTTTTAGCACACCTTGAGATCATAGGTCAGAACAAACTGCTATGCGAGATTCTGGTCTACATTTGATTCAGAAGTGCCAGATTGTCATAGCAAAGTCAGAATTACCTCCTCTCCTAGGTTCACGAAACGGTCGTCCATAAAATGCATTGCTGTTCTGTTGTAAGTAATCTTAAAGATTCCTAAATGCAAAACTTGAAATCGCATCATATGACCCCTTTAATGGTTTGCAGATAATACACTCACATGTTGCTTATTAATCAATGAGAAAAGAGTTCAACTGTACACTGAAACACATTTCTAGGTAAAATGTGTTTGTTCAAACATGCATGTTAAGACTAACATGTTGCCATCTGTAGCGTCTTATGCATGCATATATTACATATATACTCTGGCACCAGTGGACTGGGCTGGAATAGATCTGTTTTTCACCCTCATCTTTCCTTTTTCCTCTGCTCACGCTATTGGATTAGCTTTTTCTTTGCATGTTCTGTGTCTTATGTGCTTGAATGTGCTTTTATTTGCACTTTTAATTTATAAAAATTGCACTTTTAAAACAAAAAATATATATATTACTTCCTCTAACGCAGTTTTTGTCTTCTGTGTTTATGTATGTCGGTCGGATTCACTGTGATGTTTTGTTTCTCTTGCCCTTCCTCCCCCTTCTCCATCCATGTGTTTGCATGTCTGCTGCCAGGCTTCTATGGACTGGAAGAAGCGGATCTGGATAAAGTTTTCCAGCTTCCCACCACCACCTTCATCGGAGGAAGTGAAAGTGCCCTTCCACTCAGGGAAATCATCCGGCGTCTAGAGGTATGTATCCACCAACAATATAAATGTTTTGTCTTTCTGCTATCGAACTAAAAGGATTAGTTGTTTTGCATGACTTCTCTCTCGCTGTACTATGCAGATGGCCTACTGTCAGCACATCGGGGTGGAGTTCATGTTCATCAATGACCTGCAGCAGTGCCAGTGGATCAGACAGAAGTTTGAGAAGCCGGGAGTGATGCAATTTACTCTGGACGAGAAAAGGACGCTACTAGCCCGTATGGTCCGCTCAACCAGGTCTGTCCATGCCATTGTTTTCCGGAGACCTGAATGCATTATTTGCCATTCAGATAATTTAAGCACAGGCACACTTTTTAAGCAAAACCCTTCACCAAACGGAAATGAATTTATACATCCACTAAAATTTACATCAGTTGTTTAAAGGTCATTTAAAAAAATGCAAGAAAAGGGAATCGTTTGCATCAAACAATTCACTTGCATCATTTGTTTGCAGATGACACTTGCTGTGATATGTGACCCGTGCTTGCAAAATGAGTCGGAATGAGCACATTTTCGAAAATGAGTTCTCTTCATTTTCACATTCTACATTAAAATACCTTCTAGGGCTGTGACGGTGGCAAATTTTTACCACCGCTGTGGTAATGGACCAACTACCGCCGGTGGTGTGGTGTTGATTGGCTATATATAGATATATATAATTAATATTAGTTTGTGTATTTATGTATAATTTATGTATAATTAGTTTGTGTATTTATGTATAATTTATGTAAAACATTTTATTTATTTATTTATATATATATATATATATATATATATATATATATATACATACATATAGAAGCCTATAATTTTGAAACACAAATAATAAATGAGGCTCAATCATCTATTAACAAACATGCGTGTTCATCAGTGTACATGCAGTCTGCAAAACACTAAAATAAATATCAAAGAAATAATACAGTTAAACAAGAAAGTAGCCGAAATAAGAAAGTTAAATACACCCTGTCTACCGGACACGAGCAGCATTAACTCCTCGTTTGCACGCGCTCTCTTTGAAATAGGAATCGTTGCCAGATTTCTTGTTAACATCTTCCATTTATCGCTGTCTCATTTGTATTTGGCCAGTTTGGAGAAAGCCTCACCAAACCTGACCAGCCAGGTGTTTGCGATCGCGGGAACTTGAAGACACTTGTACAAACGCGGATGGGTGACATGAATGGAGATGGCTCCAGATCGGCAATTTAGTTTCCCAATAAGGTCCATCTCCCAACACAAAATTAATTTGCTGAATGCAGAATAAACTGTATTTTCCTGCACTCAAACCTGCCAATCTAAAGGAAACGCTATGCATGGCATTTGAGGTCATTTGTGAATTAGGCTACCATAGACTTACAGTCTAAATAAAATTCGTATTATGCTTGTTATAGAGTGTGTGACGTCACGTGCACTATTGCCGGTGGCAGCAGACAACCACGGTGGCAACCGACCACAGTGGTGACGTGGTTGTCACGGTGACCGTCACAGCCCTAATACCTGTTTTCATCAGCATGGGTTTGAAAATCATATTTTACTGGTTCAGACTCATGTCAAACAGAATTTGCTATGAATATTTATAAAGCTGGAATGCTGCGCTTTGCAACGATATATCCTATAACTTGTGGTGAGAAGCAGCAGCAGTTGTCCAGAAGTGAGCAAAGAAAAAGGTCCTCCTCTCAGAAAATGTACAAATAAAGATAATTTTAGATGTCTAATTACTATTTGAAGCATTGGGATCACTAGAAGAGGGCTTAATTAACTCATTTTTGTGGAAACCTCAAATTCAACCAAAATTGACATTTTTCACTTTTTTTTGCCTGTAGCTCAATTTTAGACAGTGTGCATTCCAACTCATTTTGCCAGCACAGGTCACATATGTTGTTATTTAACACACTTTTTAGTATGTCAATGTTTTTGTAATGCTGCCAGGTTTGAGGAGTTCCTGCAGAGGAAATGGTCATCAGAGAAACGTTTCGGCCTAGAGGGATGCGAGTCTCTCATTCCTGCACTCAAAACCATCATCGACAAATCTAGTGAGAACGGAGTGGAGAGCGTTATCATGGGAATGCCACACAGGTAGAGGAATAACCGACTGTACAATGTATTCTGGTTAATAAAGTATATAGGGCTGTTTAAACATGTCTGAATTGTCTGCTGTCCATCAGAGGCCGTCTGAATGTGCTTGCTAATGTGATCCGGAAGGAGCTGGAACAGATTTTCTGCCAGTTTGATTCAAAGCTGGAAGCCGCAGATGAGGTCAGCAGCGCTTTCTAGCCGCCTTCATTTCCTTCAGCACAAGTTTCTAATTCACCTCACTATACAGATTACAAAACAAATATTTCAGTGTTTACACACAAATAAAAAGCCAGATCTACTTTTTTTCTGAGGCCCAAGGTGCCATCTCAGCAATTTTTCCACAAAAATGACAGTTCAGGACGTACCTCATTTTTGCAGTCATGATTCAAAATACTGGTGTGACTTTCTAACATTTGCAGATAAGTGCAAGCCGCTTTAAACCGTGTGCTTGTGAATTTGTTTGAAGCGCTCAATATGAAGCAACATCTTGCAATACAGGCTTTTTTTCTCAGAATTTTGAGTTTACATCTCACTTTTTTTTTCCTGCTAAGGAATAAAAGGGGGAATCGCAGTTACCTTTTTTTATGCTGTGGTGGATACAAGCTTTCATAATTATGATGTAACCAAAAAAGGGTAAAACATATGCATTGGTGAACTGTTCACAGTAACATGCCTTTAGAAATAGGTTGAATTTTCATTTCATGACAACTTTAAAATTAAAGTGATAATGTTTAACAAATAATGCAAATCTGGAACAACTAGTGCAGTGATACATTAAACATTCAGTACTCTAATTGTGGTTTACAGCTCTGCACACAATCCATGGTGACATGCTTTTTGTGAAAACAGGTGTCCTCTCCAGCATTTCTAGGAAAATGATAGTGTATAAACTATGTAATATATCTAATGTTCCTTTCAAACAGAATCTTGACGTTCCAGTCCTGTTAATGTTTCAGTTTCTCTCTGTGATTTTTCTTTAGGGCTCAGGTGATGTGAAGTATCATCTGGGTATGTACCACAGACGTATCAACCGGGTCACTGATCGTCACATCACTCTGTCTCTGATGGCCAACCCTTCACACCTGGAGGCAGTGGACCCTGTAGTGCAGGGCAAGACCAAGGCAGAGCAGTTCTACTGCGGTGACTCTGACGGCAAGAGGGTGTGTGAACTGCCCTTGTGGTTCTAGCATCTGTGTTTATGTTATTAAACATAAGTGTTTCTCTTAAAGACCCCATGAAACCCCATTATTGCATTAGCAGGATTTTAATCAGTGCATCAGGAAAACAAATCTTTGAATTACTGTAGATTTCAAATGCAGACATCAGCTTAAGGTTTACTTTATCAAGTTGTACAGATGTGGACTAAATGTAAAGTACAAATTAAGTGGCCTATTTCCAAAGATTAAACTTCCCTCAAAGACAAAGGTGTGATCAGTTGTATTATGTCAACAGTTTTAAGAACGGTCTTTAATCGTCTTTTGTGATCAGACAACAAGACATGATTGACACGGTGTCACTAAGAAGACTGTGTCCTTGTCTCTAAAGGTGATGTCCATCTTGTTGCATGGAGATGCAGCCTTCGCAGGTCAGGGCATCGTCTATGAGACCTTCCACCTGAGTGACCTTCCGTCCTACACCACACACGGCACTATTCATGTGGTCGTAAACAACCAGGTCTGTTTCACACACACTCTCTGTCTAGAATATCCTCTTCAAATTAGTTATACACTACAGTTCAAAAGTTTGGGGTCTGTAAGGTTTTTTTTATTTTTTTTAATGTTTTTGAAAGAAGTCTCTTCTGCTCACCAAGGCTGTAATTATTTGATCAAAAATACAGTAAAACATTAATATTGTGGAAATATTATTACAATTTAATATATCTCTTTTCTATTTAGCATATGTTAAAGGGGTCATATGATGCTGCTAAAAAGAACATTATTTTGTGTATTTGGTGTAATGAAATGAGTTTATTTTAAGGTTAAAAAAACACATTATTTTCCACATACTGTACATTATTGTTTCTCCTCTGTGCCCCGCCTTTCTGAAACGCGTCGATTTTTACAAAGCTCATCGGTCTGAAAAGCGAGGTGTGCTGTGATTGGCCAGCTATCCAGTGCGTTGTGATTGGCCGAATTCCTCAAGTGTGTGACGGAAATGTTACGTCCCTTACCATGTTGTGATGCCTGCGGCAACCACATGTGACGACCCCGTGCTGGACTCATCCACGGTGAAAGCCGATCCGGCGATCGACAGCGCGAAGTATTTCCTCAGTGACCAGCACGGATCAGCTCCAGGCATGACGAAGCGATATCGTCCTCTTTTGGAAGACCAAACAAAGTAGTTTCGCTTTCACAACGAAGCACAAAGCATCTTCACGACATGGCGGCGGCAGCGGCAACAATACTACAGCGAGAATAAAAGTTACGCCTTCTTTCTTTG